ACACCTGCCCTCTGCCCCAGCTAGGCCCCAGGCCAGCTATACTCCCTGTGTAACTTTCCCTGACCATTCCTGCTACTGTCCCCTGTCCCTTCAACTCTGTGGTTTATGTCCTGCATCTTAGAATCTGAGTTGTGACCACACTTTTTTGGCCATGGAGACCAATTTCAGTGAGGGCACTGGGAGCCAGACAGATGGATTCAAGGTCCAGGGTGACCGAGGACAGCTCTACGATCTCAGCAAGGCTGCTCAGATGCTCTGGGTCCTCAGCTTCCTTATCTGCACAGCGAGCATAGCAGCATTGAGTTCACAGAGCTGACCTGATGAATCAATAAAATAATGTGGAAAGGTCTGGATCCAGCAAGTGGTGAATGAGCATCAACTCCTCCCAGGGGCCCCATTCCCCAGACAGCTGCGAGGTTCTCAGAGCCAGCACGTGTCTCTTCTCTCCTCCTGAGCTCTCCTAGCATGACATGCACAGAAGGCCTGGGCCATTCTTGTGGGTTGATTGGAAGGACAAGGAGAGAGGTGACCTCAAGGGCAGAAGGACCCTTCACAGATGTTCACAGGTGCTTCAGCCCTTCCTGTTATTGCTGAAGATTCAGTCTCCTTGTCTGTCTCATAAGCCTAGGTGTTTTTGAACATGAACTCCTCTACTTGGTGCTATAATCTGATTAGGATATTAATATGGAATCTAAGTGCCAGGGATTCTATGGCCTCAGGAATTTGGATAAATATGGACAAAATACTAGCTTTACAGTATCCAGGCTGCCCATGATTTCTGTACTTTCTGGGATTGACTTTCTCGTGGCCCCAATGTCATTGCTCCCTCAACTTGCCCTACCCCTGTCTGGGTTGCCCAGGTGCAAAGTTCAATGCTTTTCTCAGTTTCCACAAAAAACAAAACCAAAAACCTTCACCAAGGGCATTGTGGGCTTGAATACTCTCCTGAAGAGCTGCAGTTCTGTCATAAGATGAGCAGAGTTGTGCATGGAAGCCTCAGGGCCTCTCCTTTTCTCCTCTGTCTGCATCAGCAATGTCTTCCCACCTGTCACACAGAACCGCCTGGCCATAGCTCGAGTCTTGGGGCTGGGTGTTGCCTTCTGCCCTCTAGCATTTATGAAAGTATTCTCCTAAACACACACTGCTCCCTTCCGAGTGGGAATTCTAGCAGTGTCACTTTAATATACAACTACTTTCCACCTAGCAAGACCCAACTTAATTGTAAATTCCTGGAAGGCAGACCCTGTACCTTCTGCTTTATCTGCATCCCGCACTTCACCCGGCACAATGTAGGGCAGGGACACTCAATAAACACACGATGAACTAAGTTAAATGAATTTAGAGGACATGGAATGAAGCTGGGGGAAGATGATCACTTTTTAGAAAATTAAAGACACTGCATATACAAAGATCTTAGAAGGAATGCAAGATCAGCTTCTGAACATCCCAACGCGGCAATCAAATGGACCAAGCTGTGACCTAGTTGGCAAAAGCATCACATAACACAGTGGAACCAAGAGGAGCGTGGGTCTGCTCTCAGCCCGCCTGCTCCCACATTCAAACCCCACTTCCTGGGGCAGAAACTCCCACTCTCCTGCCTTCTGCTCAGTCATACAGTGAGGCCTCGGCATGGCGGTACCAGAAACCAGACCAAAGTGGCTGTGGGCCCCCAGGCCCCGTTCTTTATTCACAAAGAGGCCCTACCTGACATCCTTAAATAGGAGACGTGGGTGTTGACCCTGGAGCATCTGAGAGGTAGCTGCGCAGGCTGACTGCGATCTCCAGCGCCATTTCTGGAGAGTTCCTGGCAGGAAACTCTCTCTGCCCCTTCTTTTGTGCTAGATGTGGCTATGTGGGTAGCCATGCCGCCAAGGAAAATGCTGGAGGCCCTTTTTATCTCTGAAAGCTTATGGTGACAGAAAGAAAAGCTTGTCTCTCTCCTCAAGTCAACAAACCTTATTCTTTAAGGGAGATAAAGAAAAAAACAAGAAAGAATCTGAGAGACAAGTGGAGCTCGGCCCAGGAGATGCTGAGATGCTAGTGTAACGGTCTGAGCGTGCGAACTCCTTCCTGCCTTTCATGTGGCTGCGCACACGGCACACACCTACTGGGAAGGCAACTGCCATCAAAGGATACTTTCTTACTGGTGGCGGTTTCCACCCAAAATTGGGGGTAGGGGAGGATGCTCACAAATTGTATACTGATTTAAGGTCTGAGACCACCCCAATAAAAATCACTAGAGTTCACAGGAAAGTCCTATACAACCGTGTGTCCCAGCCAGCACCGTGTTGCCTGCTGCCCCAGGCCATGTGCCCCACGATTCCACCATAGTGCAGGTCCAGCCCGGTCACATGGCTGCCCAGCCAAGGACTACATCTCTCAGCTTCCCTTGGAGCAGGCATGGCCATGTCATGAGGCCCTACCAGTGAAAGGCGCCAAGTGCCCTCTTCCGCGGCCGTTGCCATGCTCGCTGGATTGGGAGTCCCTCAAGAGAAGAACCCGGCTCTGTGCAAAGAACATCTAGAGCACTCGATACCCATGGGAGCTCCCTCTCTGAAAAAAAGGGCCTTGTTAGAAAGGGGGAGCCCCAGAACTCACTGGCAGGTGTCGACTTGTCTTCCACTGTGCCAACCCAGACTTGCTGAGCCAGCTTTTTGCAAATCTACTCTAAAGGGCCCTCTTTTCAAACAAGCCTCCAGGGTCATTCCCTCTGAGTCAGAATATTTGAGGTTTACATGATTCACGCCAGCACAGACAGAAGTATTTCTGAACATGGTGTGACAACCAGTCCCACACCACATCATGATCTAGGGAGAGTGCATTGTCCTACTCAAAAGCTTGGACTTTGCAATAAAGAAGCTTCCTAACAATCGAGAATGAGGTGTTTCTTACTGCAAAACACTGAAATCACAGTAGACATCAGGATGAATATGTGACAGAGGGCCTGGACAAGTGTCATTAGGAAAAAATTTTGAGGAACAAATATGTTCTTGTGTGGTTCCATTTAAAGGGAACCCTGCTGAGAGACCTTGCGGCTTTCATCCCTCACTGAGCTGGCTCTCAGTAGGGAGTACTGGATTCTCAGAACAGGTGTGTAAGAGCATCTCACATATTTCTTAGAGCATTGTGAACCATGTACCCCCAGTGTAAGCTATATGGCCCACCAGGACTTTGGAATGCACTAATTCCATTCTCATTAAGCCACTTAGACAAGCATGGAACATGGAAGGAGCTCTCTTTATGTATTGAAATAGGCCAGGGTGAAACATGTGGAGTCCTGTCTGTATTCTAAGAGGGTTGGTGCCCCCAGAGAGGGCCATATGGGGTGAGGACCACTGCTTCCTCAGCCTCTAGAAAAAGCCCACATCTTATCATGATTACAAGGCATTTTAGTGTGTGATGTCTTCCACTGGTCCAAGAGGACTCTGGATTGGACAGCTGTGCTCAGTCACCTGCTCTGTGTGACCTTTAATGTCTTTGCTTCCACACTTGTAAGGCAAGGTACTGACACTATCGATGTTATCTGTTTGCATGAGAATTAAATGAGCTTCCACATAGCTGGCACTTAGTAAACAAGTAAGGCTTCAGGTAAAGAACTTATGTCTTAGACAGGTTAAGGGAGTCATTCTGGTCAGTAGAAAGGGTTGCGTGGGTTCCAGGACCCCTAGATCACATCCTGCAAGCTCTAAACTATGCAACTCTGACTTCCTGGTCCCACCAGCAATGGCTGTGAGCAGGGAGAGAGGTCTAAACTGGGGAATGGCCTCTGGTGTGGATGGTATGCACAGCAGGTGGGCACATAGCAGGTGGGAACATACATCTGGTCGGTGGACAGGAAACTGACTCTGCCACAAGTATCAGGTGAGGTTCATCAGAGAACCCTGATGCAGACTGGAGGCCATCCCTCTGGGTACTGCAGGGGAATCTCTGATGGGAAGTGCTATGCTGAGGGCATTACCTGGCTGGATCCCTGTCTCCCATCACTGGTCATGGGGAAAACCACTGGTGTGGGAAAAACCCCACACACAGATGTCAGGTCTACTATAGACAGGAGTACCCTTGGAGTGAATCCTGTTCCCTGTGGATGCCAGGAGAATGTCAGGGTATCAGAATGCCTTGGTGGACAGCACCCGGTCCTTCCGTCCCTGAACCTACCGAGGAGGCACAGGCACAGCTCTACTGGTGAAAAAAGTCTGGTCTGGTCTGTTTCCAACCTCAGGTAGATAGCAGGCTTGCTTCATCGACCCTCCCCTCCTCTCAATAACAGAATAAGGACACTTTTCTTTCTAGAAAAAGGTCAAAACCTAATCCTATAAATGAGGAGGATGATTGCTCTTACCTGTAAGATCATTGTGAGGATCAAAACAGATGACACAGTTGAAATTGCTTTGCCAATAACAAAATTGCCACACAATGTGCATCATTAGTCTCAAAGCCTCAGTCTAGGTCTTAGAAAGCCAACTTCTGAGCCCTCTGACCTGCTATGGATTCACAATCCATTCCATCAAGTGTGGCCCTTGATTCTATTCTGTTTTGCACTGTCAAGCAAATGTTTCTTATCTTATCACTACATGTGTCGGAAAACAAAGATCGGACATCACACCTCTTCCCAACTCCCTATGGCACTGGTGATTGATGGAGACTTTCTGGTGGTAGAGAACCTTCCATTGTTTTCAGCTTAGACCTGGAATCAGGCCCTGCCATCTGCACTCCCTCGCACAGCCTCCTTTGCAGGTGGGAAGGGAGAGGAAATGTCGCTCTCTGGGGAACTGGACCCTGGGTCTGAATTCATCATTTGGTACTGAGCCCCTCAACTATGAACCAGGCATTGTAATTACCACATGGTCATAATGTGCAGAGGGCTCTCTCTGGATGCACATGGGCAGCTTATAGAAACTACAGAGAAAATGGAAAGTGTTGTCACCAAAGAGAGGGTCATCACTATAGAAGCAGAGCAATAATCCAGGTGGGGACATGGCATGCTGGCACCCTCCCAGGACACTCACCTGACTTCATGCATCTGTGCCTGGCGTGGAAGGTCTGGGAGCTGGTGCTGACAGGGTTGCTCACAGTGCAGTTGTAGGTGTTGTCTGCATGCTGAGGGCCCAGAGTGAGGTGCAGGACTTGGGACCCATTGACTAGTCTCAGTGCATGGGTGCCTGCCACCTCATACCAGTTGTAAGTTACTTGGTCTCCCTTCTCCACCTGGCAGGTCAGCGTCAAGCTGCAGTTCCCGATTTCCTGGCTGTAGTTCAACACCTTAATTTCTGGAGTGGAGACCTGCTCTGTCAGGAGAGGGAGGAAGGAGTCATCACTGAAATGAACCCCTTGGAATTCTGACTTGATCTCTTTCCCAGAAGCCAATGCAGCTACACTGGAGTTCCTCCTCCCTGTGGGTCTTCCACGTGAGTTATTTCAGGCGAGGACCTTCTGCCTCACACTATCCCTCTCTCCGCCCTACACTCTTTTCCAGGACCATCTGGAAATAAAATAGAGAACAGAAATGTGTCTTTTAGTCCTCTCCTGCTGATACTGTCAGGGCTTCGCTTGCCCTTCCTGATGCTTCTGGATCATGTTGCTCCCCTGGATTCTATCCACAAAGCTCGCTGTCAAGTCATCCTCCACAGACTGTACTTGCCACTAGCTAAAGCATCACCTTCTAGATCTAAAAATGACTTTTTAGTGATGGGAGTGTGTGTGTGTGTGTGTGTGTGTGTGTGTAACAGGTCCTTTAGTGCACCTGAGTAGTGATTGCCACAGGCCCAACCAACCTGTCTCACTCTAAGGTCATGGAGTAGGCAAGGTAAAGGGCAAGTCTTCTTTTTTAGCAACTGCCACAGGATGGGCACAATGCTGGAATTTCACATTCATCATATTCTTTACCCTTTCTTAATGATTGAAACCTAATTACTTGGTAGATGAGAAAACTGAGACCCAGAAAGGTGGAGAGTCTCATGTAATCTCACACAATCTCTGAGCAGCAGGCTGAGATGTGAAGCTAGGTCTATCTGATTACAAAATCCAGCCTTTTTCTTTGACTTGAGAAGAAGACCATGGTTGCAGAGACCACATTTTTCAAGGTAAGAATTTGACCATAGAATGTGACAGAGGGAACAGAGGTAGTAGAATGTTCTGGGACATGCATGTTGCGTGGGCTCCTGGCTGAGCGCAGCCTTGTCCCAGGGCCATGATAGAGTGACCGTGACTTCCTGGTGCCTAGAGGAGTGCTGTGGGGGGAAGGGTAATGCTTGGGACGGGAACTTGGGAAAGAGTGTGGCTGTCTCTCCTGTGGGAAAGAAATGCCGGGTGGGTGGGCTCCTGTCCCTCATGAGACATAAGGAGTCAGTGTGCAGAAGAGCACAGCCCACATGGCTGCCAAGGATGCCCAAAATTCAAGGGAACCTCTGGGTCTCAAAGACACAAACTCTGGTACATTCAAGGAGGGTTGGCAGTTAAAAGAGGCTCAACAAAGAACTGCCTTGGGTTCACATGGACCTGGGTTCTAGTATAAGCTGGGCAACTAAGGGATTTTATAACCAGAGATTTTGTTTACATGGGAAAAGGAGCCTCTTCCCCAGGAAGATGCATTCTCTGTGGGGTCAGGGCTTGGCAGGTGGTGTGTGGACTGAGGTTTGGCTCACCTTTTCTCAGAACTCCCATGCAGTGAGCACCCACAGAGGTGTATGCACATCTGCAAACCATCCTGTCCTCACCTATGAAAGAATGACTGAGCTTGATTTGTAGTATTCAGTTTTTAAAAATCAGGAGGAAAAACACTGCTTTTTTTTTTTTTTTCCAAACCATTCTCCTCTGTTCTCCAAATAGCCCAGAGAATCCCCTTCCATGTGATGGAAGTCTGTCCTATTTGCAGACAGACTTTTGGGGATCCAGGCCCCCAAGCCCACAGGCTACTGAGCTCCTTTCCTTTGGGGCTAGTGCTCTTTGGCCGCCATCAATGAGCGATCTGGACCAAATAATTTTTAACCTCTGAAACTTCTTCCTGAAGCCCAGTTTAAATACCCTGAGCTACTGCTCTTCCAGTTGTTCCCAATCCTGAAACCCCCTTGCTTCTGAAAGAGCCCTGAATTCTTGGGTAAGGCACCATCCCACCCTCCGGGAGGGTCAGGGAAGCCACCACTGTTACCATAGAGCTCCAGCTGCAGACAGAGTTGCTGGATGGAAACATTTCCCTCCTGGGTCATAAAGTAGAAGCCCTTATCCTCCTTCTTGCTTTCTAGGATCTCCAGGCTCAGGTTTTCCAAGTGAAATGTGTAGCCATTCTCCACGTAGCCAGGAGAACCCCCTTCCGATTGATGATAAGACACAATTTTCTTCTTGACGTTGCTTCCGAGTGATTCTTCCCTGGCGACAAGGATGAGCTTGCTCTCGTTCATGCTCTTATTTATGTGTCCAGATGTGAAGGGCAGCAGCACGCTGTGTCCCAATGTTCCTGTGATCTTTTGACAACTCGAGCCCTCACCTGTAGAAAAGTGTTGCTGTTACGGAGACCTCTGTGAATCACACACATCTATGGGTCAGGAATGGTAAAGTGGAGGCTCTCTCTTTTCCTCTTGCTCTCTCCCTAGGTTGCCTTTGTGGCCTCTAAGGACTGTCACCAAGGCACCACTATAGTCTCAATATTTCAAAAATCTCAGTGGAAACCTTAAAATGACAGTAGAGTTGTGTGACTAACTTAACTAGACACTGGGCTTCTTCTGGTAGAAAAATCTCTCAACTAAGACTTAAAGTTAAGGCATCAAAATCGCAGATAATTTAGGGGACTTCCCTAAAGGCTATACTATTTCCCACTAGCAACTAGACTAGAATCCAGGCAACTCCTCCATTAGACATTTCATTCCCACTGGATGTGTGACATGAGGATGGGCAGTAACTGGACATGATGATGAGCTCGTGAACCCAGGAGACCAAGGTTATATAATGACAAGGGTGGAAAGAGATGATGACGAAGAAGAAAAGTCTGAGGGTGTGGGGTGAGGGGGTAAGGCACTCACTGTTAACACTCTGGAGTCCTATCTCTCCAAACACTGTTGAAATTATTAATAATAGGGTGAGAAATTACTTTGTTCTCTTAAAAAAAAAAAAAAAACATGGAGCCAACAACAGCTACCAACAAAAAGGAAGAGAGAAAAATCCAAAACCCCAAACCTACCAAACCACTGTGGGGTATCTATTGCTGACTATTTAACACCTCCTGTCTCCTCAAACCCACAAACTCAGCTGATTACCCTGCTTCTTATTTCACTGAAAAAGCAGAAGAAACTTCCATTTTGTGCCACTATCAAATCAGCCACCTACCTTGATGGAGGGTCCAGTGCTCTCAGGTAAGAGCAGTATCTCCATGGAGCATTTTCCTACTCCAGGCTTTACTCGGGCAAAGGGCACCACCCTTTGCATCCTCTCCTTTATTGCTGGCATAGTAGATGGTGGGTTATTTCCATCAACACACAATATGCCAACACATCATTTACCTCACCTTCAAACCCCTCCCTGATCCCAGGTCCATCTCTAGCAACCTCCCCGTTTCTCTGTTTTTCTTTACCCCAAAGCATGAGTTCCAAACTCCTTTAATGTGATTTACTCTCTCTGGCCTCATTTCCTGACCCACTTTTCCTGTACCGACTCCAAGCAGGTGTTTTTCTCTGCTATTCATTGGAACCACTCTTGTCAAGGTCACTGGAGACTCCTCCACCCTCATCTTTTCTCAGGTGCACTGGACAGAGTCCATCACTGCCTCTTTGAAAAACTGTCTCCACTTGGCCCCTCAGCCCCGTACTCTCCTGGCTTCCTTCCTATTTAAGTGGCAGCCATTTCTCCATCTTTTTGACTGGAAACTTCTACTCTTCAAAGTGTTTAATTATTGGAGCATCTCAAACTTAGTAAGTTCTTGCTTCCATAGTCCCTACTGCGAGCCACAGTACAATTCCCCTAAATTCTCAGGCTCAAACATTAGGAGCATCCTTGACTCCTTCCTTTCTCTCACATTTCACATTCAGTCTATCAGCAAATCCTGATGGCCCTGCCTTCAAAAAATGTCTGGCATCTGAATGAACCTCCTTCATTTCTATTACACAGCCTGCTGAGCTCCTTTCCTTTGGGGCTAGGCAAGGGCTGCTAGTGCTCTTTGGCCACCACCAATGTGGTGGCTTGGGCACTAATCTCCCGACATTGTGCAGAGGATGGAGTAATCTTTTGAACTATATTATTTTGTATCTCTCCTGCTTTTAAAATCCCAGGTTCTCTAGCACTCAAAGAGTAAGAATACAGAGTTCTCATCACAGTCATGATATCCATGACTGTGAATAACCGGTCCCCCCTGCATCTCCCACGTCTCTCTGTCCACTCTCCTGTGCTCGTTGCACTGTGACCACATGCACTCTGACTGCCCTTAAACACACCAGGAGCTTTCCTATCTCAGAGACTTTGCATTTGCTGTCTACTCTCCCTGGAAACCTCTTCCCTTACCTGTATGGAGAGCTCATTTCCTCACTGTGTTTTAGGTTTCTGCTAGAAAATTTACCTTCCCTGAGTGAGCTCCTTTGCCATCCCATCTAAATAGCTTGCCCTTCTTACTGACCTTATCCCTGCCTGATGTTATATTATATATTCGTTTATTTTATTTTTGTCTCCCTCCCCTGCACAATATACTCCTCAAGAGGAAGAATTGAATCATGTTCACCGTTTTGTCACTAGGGCCTAGAGTGTTTATCACATCATAGACTTTTAATAAATATCTGTTCGATTTAGGAACGCCAAAAACTGTATTATGTGACTAAAATCTCTCATGTTTCACTTTGTCCAATATGCCATGTAATTGAACATAATCATAAGCTAATGTTCATAAAAGGAACTCTTGACTCAGAAAGAGCATAGATTGTTCTAGCTGATAAGAAAGATAGAGAATAAAATCAAACTGTCTGCTTTAGTAAAGCAGTCACCGAGCAAAGACACAATAGTTAAGATGAGTTGTTAGAAAACTGGACAAACTGGTCAAAATCTTCAATGCCAAAATGCCCTGAAATGCCAACACTGGCCTGCAAAGGGGCCTGTTATTGGACTAGAGATTCGAGATTGAGGAACAGGGAAAACAGTCTTAAAATCAGAATTAGGATGGTTGAGGCTCGTGATTATTAACGAAAAGTGGGAAAGACAAGGAGACATTTGTTCTTTTTAATATTGCTAATACACCAACTCTGAAAGTGCTGTTGTTGCTTAATTGATTAGACGAGGAATGATGTTGTCGCAATTTTTACAAAGACAAATTGGGAAGCGTTTTGGACTTTCTTCCAGCCACATTCATGAATGCCCGATTCTCCAGGCAACATGGTGGGGGCAGTACCCCAATAACCCCTCGTATCCTGAACTTAAACTTCTAGACAGAAAGAAATAACACAAAACCAAGCCACACATGCAAGTAGAAATGTCATGAGGTACAAGGGCCCCAGGAAATGGTGGACAAAAACTGTGAGTTAAGCATATGTACATTTTCCCATAAGCGCCTTCCTAAACATCATCTCTCAAAGGGGTCTGAGGTTCAAAATAAGAATAAGAATCATCTTCGCACTGTTGATTTTTTTTTTTTTGGATTCATTTTGATTTGAAGAAAAACTGATGGCTGATGGTAATGACTCCATCTCAGGCCACAGCCCCCTCCTATGTCCTCCGTCCCCTCCCCCAACTAATCCATAGAATCTTTGGACCAAAGCTGTGGGGAATGAGAAGAGAGACTATGGGATGAGGTAGGGAGCAAACAAAAAGTTTCAAAGAAAACAGAAAAAAAAAAAAAAAAAAAGGAATATAGGAGTGGGCCTCCCTGGTGGCGCAAGTGGTTAAGACATAACCTATGAAGCTGTCCGCAGCTGCTATAGCACGAGTTCAATCCCCCGGGCAGCCAGGGAGCAACACACATGGCGCAGCAGACCTCTCCTGGCTCGCCTGCTGCTCCCCTCAGCAGTGTGTTTCAGTCAGTCTGCCTGTTCTGTTCCCCACTCTGTCTCTGGTGAATCCTCTCACTCCCCCCATACCTCTGGCCTGTACCCCAGTTCTTGCATGCATAAATAAATAAATCTTAAAAAAAAAAGTATAAAGGAGGAAAAAGAGAAAGAGGGGGCGGAGTGCCGTGTACACACTCATCACAGGGAGTGGAATTTAAGCTTCACCAGGAAGAGACCCTCACGCCCCGCCACCCACATGAAACGTGACGATGCAGCCAAGTGTGTGAGTGGCTGGGTGGTGGGGTGAAGGGGCACTTGAAACTAAGTGGAAAATAAGTGGGAGCTTTAATGTGGCATATACAGCCCTTCAAGTGGAGCTGCAGCTCCTGAGCTCCCCCTTCACCCGCTGAGGGTTTCCCAGTGGGCCTGTGATTCAGTCGGCCCTGAAAAAGAGTCTGGAGGAAACATTTGTACTGTGAACACCAACTCACTTTCCTTCATGGGTAATTCAACTTAGAAAGCAGAGTGATTCACATGCACCAGGCACATTTTCCTGAAATCAGAAGCACTCAGATAATCCTTGCATAAGACAGGATTCCCCCTAAAAATAACCCCTTGCTTCTGCCTAGCCCCCCTTCATTCACATGTGCTAGCAGCACTTGCCATGGCCTTTCTGTCATGCCAAGAGGCAAGACTTCTTCATTGGCCTCATAGTTTCCATGGTAACCCTGGGGCCAGAAAGAAAGCATGAGTGTCTAAGGCTGCTTTTTCAACTGCTGCCTAGTAGCTGTCTCCTGGTTCCCATGCCTTAGTGCTGTTGGGGATCCCAGAATATTTGTACTCATTGCTCCCCAACCTGACAGCCTGTCTCACCCTTTATTTGCCTGGCTAACCGCTCCCACCCTCTGGCCTCTGTCTCTGCCCCTCTCTTAGACAAGGCTTCCCTGCCCTGCTTTGCATCTCTCCTCCATTTCACCCATCATTTTAAACTAATTCATCCTTACTCCGCGGTTAGTTTCCAGGTACAGGGCTGTTTTGTTCACTATTTTTTATCTTAAACCCAAGTGGGACAGGTAGGAACTCAATAAGTCTCATTGTTCAAAAGAATGAAAAAAACCTAATAATCAAAAATAGAATGAGGGGGCTCCCTGGTGGCACAAGGGGTTAAGACGCAGCACTCTGAAGCTGTCCGCAGCCACTGCAGCACGAGTTGGATCCCTGGCCAGGGAGCTACCCACATGGCGCAGCAGACCTCTCCTGTCTCGCCTGCTGCTCCCCTCCGCAGTGTGTTTCAGTCAGTCTGCCTGTTTCACTCCCCACTCTGCCTCTGGTAAATCTTCTCACTCCCGACACCTCTGGCCTGTACCCCAGTTCTTATATGTATAAATAAATAAATAAATAAATAAATAAATAAATAAATAAATAAATAAATAAATCTTTAAAAAAATAGAATGAAAGGAAGGAAGGAATGAGGGAATAAGAAAGGAAAGAAGAAAGAGAGGGAGGAAGAGAGTCAGGAAGGAAGGAAAAAAATTACAACAGAGGCAAAGCGCTCCTTTCTCCAACGTCAAAATGCACTCGGTTTCTCCTGATACTGTCCTTAAAAGGAAAAACACAGAGGATAGTGGGGGTCTTTTTCAGGTACAACAGACCACCTACCAACCAACCACCCCCTCCCCGCAAATACTCCCTGTACTTCACCTTTGCAGCTGCACCTTTATCTACATATGCTTTTCAAGCCCAATAAAACCCAAGGTGTATATTTGGAAGGACGCAGAAGAAACCTCTAACAGTATTTGCTGCCGGAGAGGAGTCAGGAAGAGAGATTTGTCTCCATTCTATATTCTTCTGCATGTTGAAATTTTTTCGACCCACATGTGCTACTCTTCCAATAAACAAGCTAGCTAGCAAAAAGATTACATGAAAACTTACACGATGAGAGACATTCCTGTCCACTTTCCAAACGCTTGCCTGTGCCCTCTATTTCCTTCTATGATTTTATTAACTTCTCTCACCTTTTGAAAATTCTTATACTTCAGCTCATTCCATTTCAATTAAAATCAACTCACGTGCTTCAATTGCAGATAACATTCTAATTTTTACCATGGGGTCTGAACACAAATTTTAACCTTCCTCTCCCTAAACATCAATTTCTCTTGTCTCCCTCATTAAGGTTATGTGACCATAGAGAAGTGACTGAACTATTCTCTGCCCTTTTTCTCATTTACAAAATATCGATGGTAACAATAACAAACATTTCATGGGGCTGGGGTGAGACGTGAATAAAACACATAAATACACATCTAGAGCAGTGCTTGGCAAATAGCAAGCATAATGAGCATACTACTGTTACTTGTTCAACAAACATTTGTTGGGTCACACAGTGCATTAGACACTGTGTCAGGTGCTGGGCAGAGGCTTTTGCTTCTCTGACGCCTCTCACAGTGCCCACCCCGTCATGTGTCCTTAATGAATAGTGGCTGAATGGAATTGCCCGATTGATTTGTATTAAACCAAATAACCCTGATATTTTGATTGCAAGTAGAGCACTGGAGACAGTGAAGGTGATGGTTTTATATCACAGCATTTAAGCTTTTAAGAAATCAATCTACATGGTGGGAGAGACTGCATAGTGAGCATGCAGGTTGCACCAAGTCTAGAGCCCACATTTGTCCCTCATCTCTCCTCTCTGGATGTGAAGGAAGCAGGGAAGACCTGCGTGGAAGAAAAAGAAGTCCCACTGGGGTAGAGCATCCACTGTAACAGATGCACCGAGCTGGCGGGGGCTGTTGCTTGTGGGGGTGGCTGTGTATGTGTGGGGGCGGAGGGAAATCTCTGTACCTTCCATTCAAGTTTGCTGTAAACCCAAAACTATTCTGAAAATAAAGTCTATTTTAAAAAATACCATTGGGGGAAATGGAAAATTTGCTTTATTGGGGAAAGGGACATGTGGACTTTTTGATTTTTACAATTCTGACTGAGTTGAAAAGTGACCTGAGTAGTGCTGGGAAGGGGGGTGGTACTGATTTTACAAGAATCAGGCTTCTTGGCTGGGTAAATCTGTCATGGCTGACCTGTCCTCATTTGCACATCACTACTGTCTGGGTTTTATTGAGGTTTCACAAAAGAATGCACATTTAAAAATAAAAATACTGTAAAAGTTTTGTGTGTATTTCAGAGAACATGGGGAAAAAAAGGGGCTGTGCAGATTGGATGGGCACGTATGTTGGAGCAGACCCACCACCCTTCGGGGGACAGCAGCCAGCAGCACTTGGGCCATGTGAGCTAGGTTGGCCAGGATGAGCACAGAGGGAGATAAAGCCCAGCCCAGAGTCCCCCCATCACCCCCAAAGGTGGAAGCATCACACATGGCACCTCCAAGGGAAGGCTTGGCTTTCTCTGTGATGCTTACAGGGGTTAGAGTTGGCTTTCTGAGCCCTGGGAGCAATCATTCCTCTCCTAGACCTCAGGGAGCAGAGCCCTGGGTCTGCGTCATTCAGAGGGAAATTGGACCAAGTTTGATTCTTCATTCAGGAGTCTGGTACAAGACAGATCCCAGGCATGTGCCCCCCACCCTGACCCCAGTGACACCCCAACCCCCACGACCCCCATCCCCGACACACCTCTGGGCTTTTCCTGGAAAAGTCCTTAATGGATTTGCGGTCTTGAAAACCCCAAGGGCAAAACACCCAGGGCCTCAGGATTTCCCCCCTTCCCTAATGCCACTTCTACTCCAAGCAAGCTGCCTTTCGTGGTCTCACCAAGGTTCCAAGGCACTCAGCAGAAAGGAGATACTCACTTTGCTCCCCAGGGAACCCCGACCCCATTTCTTGCTTAGTTTTTTCTTTCTCAAATGTCCTTTCTCATAGCCCTGATACCTTGAGCAGAGAACACCAGGTCACCTTTTTGAGGAAGACAAGCCAGAAAGAAACGCGCAGAGCACAGCTCCAAAAGCTCTGTACTGGTCTCACCTTACCACGAAGCTGCCCTAGAGGCTTCCTGATTTGCATTTCCCACTTGCTGATGCAGCCCTGGGCTCCAGAAATTCTGTCCTTTACCCCTTAGCTGCCTTGGAACCTTCTCTTCTGGGAAAGTAGCCACCAGTATGACCACACTGTGGCCACTGTCAGTTCTCAACCCAATGCCTGGGATTTTCACTTCTACCTTTTCTCCTTACTACAGCCCTTCCTGTTGTTGGACCATGTTTCTGGTTTGTGGTTCTGGGGTGTCCACTTGTGTGTGTGAGGACTCCATTCTGGGGCAAGGGTGTAGGAGCAATCTTTTCCCAGAGCTCCATCCCCATAGCTCAGTCTCCCACCCTGCAAAGACCAGCCCTGCAAAACCAGCCATTCAACCCAACTGGAGTGGAGCCTCTCACCTGAATGTGGCTGGTGCCCTTGGCTTTAGAGTTCTGGTTTCTCTGGAAATTAGAATTGATGGCACTAAGCCTTAGGATCCAGGGGCCCAGGAACTCCAAAACTTCCTTCCTCTTTGAAAGAGACAAATGAAACTCAAAGCCAAGCCCCAGGAGGAGACAGTAGAACCCCAGTCCCCAGGCCCCAGCCCCTGCCGTCTCCTCTCTACACATGGGACTTGCTTGTTCTTGGCAGCAGCCGCAGGAATCAAAGCCCCAAGCCAAAGACCACTCACCTGTTGTGCAGCTCAGCTCAAAAGCCAGGGAGAGAAGCAGCAGAAGGTTCAAGGAGAGATGCCCCTTGGGATCCATCAGTTCTGAGGAGAGGGAAGGGCCTGGAGAAGGGCTGTCTGCTCACAGACGCCACCACAGTTACTCTGAGTAGACAGAGCAGCCTCTGCTATTGAGTTTATGCATCAGGAACCGGCAGCTTCCTGTGTCCCCGGGACTTTTTCTTTTCTACTCGTGTCTGGGGATTGCTCATCTGCTTTCAGACCTTAAATCATTTTTTTGTTCCCAAGAATTTCGAGTCAAGTGCTTAGACCACTGGAGCTGGGAAAGGAGCTGTGTCACTTCGCCCAAACTCAGCCACGGGCAGAAATGCTCCCCCCACCCCCATTTTCTCAGCTGTCTCAGCAAATCAAATGGGCAGTTTTGTCTGGTAACTTTTCTTAAAGTTAAAGAAAAGATAGAGTCCTGTCAGTCCACCCCCAAATTTGTATTAGTTAATTCAAAGCTGAACTTGAGTGACTGAGGATTAATAAATGAGGAACCTCTTATTTCTGATTTGTTCCATAGGTTCAGAGAACTCACCTGTCCATGCATTCAAGTCCTGATGCCAAAGTCATAGAGAAGAGGTGGGGACCAGCACATCAGTTGGCAGAAACCAGTTTCCCTGTTGGATACAATGTGGTGGAATTTAGAGAGCCCTGCCTGTGTTTGGAGGGGCTACCTTTATTTGGGGACTTAAAGGGACTAGAACTGACAGATGAAAGCCTCTGTGCTCCATGGGATAAACTATAAGAAGGAAGCACTGGAAAGGTGCTATTATGGTACTAACAAGATTTTAAAGGCCAGAGAATGTTTTTAAAGTTCATTTTAACAAGTCTAGGGCAGTTTCCAGTGTGCTACATAAGTGAGTGGGGTAATAAGAGCTAATGACACGTGTGAGCTTGTTCTTTGTCCCCGGTTTCCCCCTCTCACCTGGGACCCTGCCATCCTCTCCCCAGCACTAGCCGACATGTACCAGCTCCGGAGAACTCGTGGCTACATTTTCAAGAATGGTGTGAGTTGGTTTACTCATAAATGTTACTATTATTTAAAAATTGAATTATATAAAATTAAAATTAAATGATATTAAAAAGAAAGGAAATTAAAAACTTAAAACTCATTACTTCCTAATTGTTTGAGAACATTTTACTATTATCTATGTTCTTAGAACTTTACATCTACTGTATCTCTAGTGGAAATAAAATACCACACTGCGTGGGTTACTTCATCTCTCCTTCCAGCTCTGCATGTAATTGGTAGTTTGAGGTTGACCATGGTAGGAGTATATAAACTATGGGATTTGGAAAATGTTATAAACCAGTGCTTTGTTTTTTTTCTGTTGCTGTTGCTGATTGTTTAAATGTAAGAGTGAGAACAAAAGTAATAATGGGGATTAACCTTAAAAAGTGGGTCATGGGCCTCCCCCGTGGCGCAGCAGTTGAGCGCTGGGCTGCAAAGCTGCCCGCAGCCTCTGCAGCGCTGGTTCGATCCCTGGCCGGTGGGCAAGGGTCCCCCATGGTGCGCAGACCTCTCCTGCTGCCTGCTGCTCCCCCCAGCAGTGTACTTGGTCAGTCTGCCTGCTCTGCTCTCCGCTCTGACTCTGGAGAATTCTCTCACCCTCCCGTGCTTCTGACTGTACCCAGTGCTTGTATAAATAAATAAATAAATCTTTCAAAAAAAAAAAAAAAAAAAAAAAAAGGTGGGTCATGATGTAGCTATTCCATTCTGAATAGCATAAAAAAAATCAGAGAAGATATTTTTCCAGTATTCAAAAACTGTCTTTTAAGAAAAAAGTCTATAGTGTCACAAGCAATTACGTTTTTGCTGTTTTATATTTCTTTAACTTAAAACCAAGCAAGATGGGGATGGGATGAAATATTAAGTGTTGAGAGAAAAATAACACCAACCTAAAATTCTGTATCCTGTGAAATAATCCTTCAAAAGTGAAGGGGAAATTAATACTGTCGCAAACAAACAAAATTTCAGGGAATTTGTTGTCAGTAGTCCTACCTTGCAAGACATGTTAAAAGAAGTGCTTTAGAGAGAAGGGAAATGAGACAGATCAGAAACTCAGATCTATAGAAAGAAAGGAAGAACATCAGAAAAGGAATAAGTGAAGGCAAAGTGTGGTTGGATTAGTTGTATATGTGCATTGCAACAGGAGGACACTCACTAGAAGAGTTTTTTTAAGGGGTCTCCCTGGTGGCACAAGGGGTTAAGACACAGCACTATGAAGCTATTCGCAACCACTGCCACACAAGTTCCATCCCAGCCAGGGAGGTGACCTACATTGTACAGCAGACCTCTCCTGACTTGCCCGCTGCTCCCCTCAGCAGTGTATTTCAGTCAATCTGCCTGTTCTGTTCCCCACTCTGTCTCTGGTGAATCCTCTCACCCCCACCTCTGACCCTCCACTGCACCTCTGGCCTACACCCCAGTTCTTCTACGTAAAAATAAAATTTATAAAAAAAGAAAGAGTAGACAGCAAAGAAAGCAATTTAAAAAGTGATGTTTCAAACACCTGTACACCTATGTTTATTGCAGCACTATTTACTATAGGTAAAACCTGGAAACAACCAAAATGCCCAAAATTAGATGACTGGATCAAGATCTGGCATATATACACAATGGAATATTACTCAGCAATCAAAAAGCTAAACTCATGCCATTCCCAGCAACGTGGATGGAACTAGAAGGAATTATGCTCAGTGAAATAAGACAGAAGGAAAAAGAAAAATACCGGATGGTTTCACTTATAGCAGGAATATAGGGGAACCCAATAAGACATCAGTGTAAAAAAATAATAACAGTACAAAACACAATAAAGCAAAAATGGACAATTATAAATCAGAGACATCCTGCAGGGGAGGAGGAGGGAGAGGAATCAGAGGGAGGGAGGGAGGAGCACAAAGGACTGAGGTGATGGTGCACGGGTGCATTGGGGAAGGAAACTATGGGGACTACACCTGAGGGGGTGGGGGAAAGCAAATATTGTTTAAAAATGAACAATGATATAAAGAAATTTGAAAAGTAATATAAAAAATTTAAAAAGTAAAAAGTGATGTTTCATAATGACAAAAGAGTCGATTCTCCAAGAAGGCATAACAGTTCTTAACAAGCCTTTAGTGTCTGACAGCAGAGCTTCAAATATGTGAGGCAAAAATTCATAGAACTGCCAAAAGAAATAAATAAACTTACTACTATTGTTGGAGACTTTTAGAACCCCTCTATTAGAAATGGACAGATTCAATAAGATCCAATAATCAGAAATCCAGTGAGGCCATAATTGAATTCAACACCACAACCAATCAACTGGATATAATGAATATCCTCAGATTTCTTTACCCAACAATAGCAGAATACACTTTCTTCTCAAGCCCACACAGAGTGATACCAAGATAGACAAGCTGCTGTTCATAAAACACAACTTAACAGATTTGAAAGGATAGAACCATACAATGTCTACTCTAAGACTGAAGTGGGATTAAACTAAAAATCAGAGCCTTCCCTGGTGGCACAGGTGGTTGAATGCTGTGCTGTGAGGTTGTCCACAGCCTCTGCAGTGCCGGTTCGAATCCCGGCCGGCCACCGAGGGTCCCACATGGCGCAGCAGACCTCCCTGTCACGCCCGCTGCTCCCCTCAGCAGTGTATTTCGTCAGTCTGCCTGTTCTGCTCCCCACTCTGTCCCTGGTGAATCCTCTCACCCTCCCGCACATCTGGCCTGTACCCTGGTTCTTGTATAAATGAATAATTTAAAAAAATAAAAATAAAAAATAAACTAAAAATCAATAACAGAAAGACCACTGGAAAATTCCAAAGTACATGAAGTTTAAACAACACATTTCTAAATGATACATGGGCCAAAGAAAAAATGCCAGGAGGAGTTTTTAAATATTTTGAGCAAAATGAAAATACAACTTATTACAATTTTTGGAAAGCAACAAAAATAGTAGAGAATTTCTTTCTAATTCTTTATTATTTTTATTTTATTTTACTTTTTTATTGAAGTAACTTTGCATTATAACATTATTATATAAGTTCCAGGTGTTCATGATTGAGAATCAACATGTGTAAATACTAAGTTAAGTTAACCACTGAAAGTCCAAATCTATGTTTTACCATACCATTGTTCCCTGTTCTAGATTTACCTACTCTCTTTACCTCTTCCCTTCTGATAACCATTAATTGGTCTTTTTTTAAGATTTATTTTATTTATTTATGCATACAAGAGCTGGGATGTAGGCCCGAGGTGTGGGGGAGGGGAGTGAGAGGAGTCACCAGAGACAGAGTGGGGAGCAGAACAGGCAGCTTTACTCAAATACACTGCTGAGAGGAGCAGCAGGCGAGTCAGTAGAGGTCTCCTGCACCTTGCGGGTTTCATCCCTGGCCAGGGATCAAACTCGTACTGCAGAGGCCCTGGGTAGCTTCATAGTGCTGACTTAACCCCTTGCACCATCAGGGAGGTCCACCACTAATTGGTCTTATAGTCCAAAAGTTTATTCGTGTTTTATTTAGTTAATCTGTTTATTTTGTTTTTTATTTGTTTTCTATATAAAGCACATACCAATGAAATCTTAATCTGTTTGCTTTCTTTTTTTATTTGTTTGTTTTCTATATATACCACATATGAGTGACATTTTACTGTGTATGTCTTTTGTTCTGTCTGGGCTATTTCACTAAACATAATTCCCTCTAGGTCCATATATGTTGTTGCAAATAGCAGAATTTCATCTTTATTTTCTAAACAATGTTCTGTCTTCTTTATCCATTCATCAATCAATAGGTGCTTAGGTTGCTTTAGTTCTTAGCTATTGTAAATAGTGTTGTAATCAACATGGTGGGCATATATCTCTTCAAATTAGTGTTTTTATATTTTTCAAGTAAATACCCAAAATGGATAATTGAATCATATGGAATTTCTATTTTTAATTTTTTAAAGTCTCCACACCATTTTCCCTAATGGCAGCCCAATTTACATTCCCACCAACAGTATCTAAAGGTTCCCTTCTCTCCACTACCTCTTTAACACTTGCTGTTTTTT